CTGTGCTCTCTCTGACAAGGAGTTTCAGTGCTAAACTGTAACGGGGTCCAGAATTTGCGGTGTTCTTGAATATAGGATAATAGGCCTGGCTGGGGGAAGGGACACATGGAACAGGGCCATTGAGAGTTATATTGCAGGCCAGCTTCATACCTGATATGCAAAAATGGTTATTTTGTATATCAATAACTGTGACTAGTCTTCTAGCCGGAATGGAGCCACAAGGTATGCATAACTTTTACCCATGATGTAACTGGGAGGCAGCTCCCCCTAGTTACAGCGCCTGCGGGAAAGCTTGGAGATGGTTTGCTCCACGCCACAGAGCCACACCTGCCCAGACTTACTATGGCAGCCAAGAGAGGCTGAAAACTGAGGGAGTGCTAGCAGGTGTAGCCGATTGTGGGAGGACTCAGAAATGGGGTTCCGGAGGAGGTAACAGGTTAGGATTTAAACTAAAGGCAGGCCACCATGTAGGGCAGAGACTTTACATGGAGGACGATGCGAGAGCATATGAGAAGGAAAGGGGTGAAAGGATTCTTGCTGGTGGGCTCCAGGAGCCACGTGGTTTCAGATTAAGAACTGGGGAACATGGCGGGGACACAGCTGACAGTGCTGGGGACTGCAGGAGACCTGCCCAGCTGAGCAGGATTACTGGGAGAAACAGGGAATCTAGCTGAGCTAGGGACTTCTATTTCTTTTCCTTGAGATATGGTAGCCCTGACTAGGGAAAGGAGGGAAGGAAGCACTGTATGTATTTGTGGGTGTTTTAAGGGACTTTGGGATTTTAATGGCAGCATTTTCCGATTACTCAAAACCTGAATAATTTTTGAATAAATAGTTCCTTTCCTTTTCACCAAACTCTGGCATTGAGAGGCACAGTTCATATCAGTGGCAGGCAAAGACGAACCCAGGGAAGGGGGGCATGTTTCAGTAACAGCATCTTGCCCCCCCCCATGGGTCTGTTCTGTAACTGTTACAGAACAACAAAAGAATAACAAAATAACTTACAGTGTAACAAAACTTGAAGTAGTCCTATTTGAGTAGATTGATCCATTCCCTTTTTAACCACTGCAAATGTTCCACTAATAAGCCTGTTTGCTTCACTAAGAAAAAAATTCAGCATTGGAAATACCTACCAGTTCCACTCTACAAATATTTATTAAGCATTTACTGTGAATCAGGTACAATAGTAGATGATAGGCACTACTGCCTTTGAAATTACCCATGATATTGTGATATAATAACAAATATATACTTGTTTTTCATCCATGGTTCCTGACCCAGTGCTCATAAAACCTTTGTAGTTTCTTGAATGATAGGGATAAGAGGAACATTTTTTTTGCTATTCATAATAAGCCCACTTGAACTGTACCTGAATTTATGCTAATGAGGTAACTTGGAGGATGGGGCCTGATTGCCAGAGGAATCAGCCATCTAATGAGAGGGTTAGAACTTTCAGCCCTGTCTTGGACTTCTGGGGAGAGGAGAGGGGCTGGAAATGAACTTAATCACCAATGACTAATAATGCAGTCAATTGTGCCGACTTAATGAAGCCTCCAAAAATGACTGGGTGTGGAGAGCTCCCAGTTTGGTGAACACGTGGAGGTGCTGGCCCCGGGGGGTTAGCCCAGGGAGGGAATGGGAGCTCCAAGTCCCTCCAAATTTATGTATCTCTTCCATTTGCTTGTTCCTAAGTTGTACCCCAGCAATAGTAAGTAAAATGCTTATCCTGAGTTCTGTGAGCCATTCCAGCAAATTGGTGAACTAAAGGACGGGTTTGGGTAACCCGCGATTTATAGCTGCACAGTCAGAAGTGCAGGTCACACCCTGGGACTTGTGATTGGCTTCCAAAGTTAGGGGCAGCCTTGCGGGACTGAGCCTTCATATTTGTGGGGGCTGTGCTAACTCCAGGCAGTGTCAGAATTGTTTAATGTGAGGAAAACAACCCACAGATTTGTTTTTAGAAGTGTTATGAACATAGTAGGAAACAAGTTTCCCCTCTTATTGACTATTACTACTTTCTTAGAAATGATCAACACTGACTTTCATGAAACCACACATAGTTTCTCTTAAAAGAGTTTCTCAAACATTTCCAGTGGAGGTCTCCTTAGCACTGAGGCCCTGTCATCCCTAGGTGCCTGGGGATTTAGCAAGAATTAGGCCACGTGTGCTAAAAATTATCACTAAAATCCGTAAGCATTTTGCCCTCTGCTCCATTTTCAATACTCATGTCAACATTTAAATATTGTTTAAAATTCTTATCACTATGAAGAGAAAGTCTTTTGTAAAAAAACCACGTCATATGATTTACAAATATATTTGGCCACAACTCACAACAAACCTAAATGTTGCCTTAAAAAATTGGAGTGTGTGGGGTGTCATTTTCTTACATAACAAGTAAGACATTTGGAGGCCAACAGTGATGTCAGGGTCAGTGCTTTTACAATTATCTTGTTGCCCAAAGATTGCAGGATGTTTACTGCAGCTTCAGACAAAATGCCCAGGCTGAAAGCAGTAAGGTGTGAGGGAATCACATGAGCACCCCTAGCACAAGAGAGGCCAGAAAATCAGGGTACTGTGGTATTGTGAGTTGTTAACAGTAAAACTTTTTGAACTACCAAGCTACCAAGCTATCCTCTGGAGGGCTTGTTAAACACAGATTGCTAGGACCCGCCCCCAGAGTTTCTGATTCAGTAGGTCTCAGGTGGGCCCTGGGCCCTTGCATCTCTAACAAATGCTACTACTGCCTCTGTTGCTGCTGGTCCAGGGACCACACTCTGAGAACCAGTGACTTGGACCAATCATGATTTAATTGCCTGGCATTGGCACTCTTCTGCTCAGAAACATGGCCACATTAGCCTTTATAAATACTTTTACAGCTATATTTCTGTTTTATTTATGCACAGATGAAAATAAACTCAAGCAATGGCAATACTAAGAAGTCATTGCAGACATGAGTAGGTCTCCCATGCACCCAGCTCTTTTTTTCCAGAGCCATAAAGACCTCAGACTCTGAGACACCAGGAGGGCTTTTGTGCTTTCTGACTTCCATTAAAATCAAGTAGATCAGATGCCATAGAGAATACTTTAACTGAAGTTTATCCTTAATGTCATATAACTCTCACAGTTTAAGAGTCAGCAAGGAATAAATGATGCACTAGAATTAGGAATTTTGAAAACACTGTAATAAAGGGACTATTTCCAAAGGTGCAGACAGGGTAGAGATAAGTCATGAGGTCTAATCCCTTTGGGTTAGTAAAAGGGAGGTATATTATCACCTCTATGGCTAAAGGGATGAAGATTCTGGGTTTGCAGAAATCTGCACGGAGAGGTTATGTGCAGAGGGTCTCATTACCCTGGCCTTTGGTGAAGGACATGTAGGGAACCCTCACCAAGTAGGGAATAAGTACCTAAACCTCCAAACCTCACTCTGCTCCCTCCCTTTGATTTCCTATGAGTGCTTCTTATTGGCCAAACCCTACTGGGGCCTGTTGATGTCATTCACATAGGTCACATATTATCCGTAGAGGTGAAGGGACAGCCAGAGAAACAAAGAGCTGTCCAACACACACATATTTGAATTTTTATACCATTTATTTCTGGTAATAGAACTATTCTTTTTCTGTCATTGAAAATTCAAATAATAAAACAAAGAAGAAAGATTTAGAAGAAATTCTCAAATAAACACTTCTCAAAGTATTGTCTAAGTATGAGGATCCACAAGTTCAAAACCAGTTTCTCAATGATACCAAGACATTATTTGCCTACTTCGCTCTCATTCTTTGTGAGGAAAACAGTGGAGTTTTCCAGAAGCAATATAACACATTGCAAAGTCAGGTATGGATTCCAGTTTTTCCATTGAGCCAGAGATTAAAGAGTTTGCAAAAATATAGACAGTGTCCTTCACTACTAATTTTTAAAAAGATTTTATTTACTTATTTTTAGAGAAAGAGAGGAGGGAGGGAGAAGGACAGGGGGAGAAACATTAAAACAAGACAGGAATACTGATCAGTTGCCTCTTGCACTTACCCCAACTGGGGACTGAACCTGCAACCCAGACATGCGTCCCTGACGGGGAATCAAACTAGTGACACTTCATTTTGCAGGATGATGCCCACCCAACTCAGCAACACCAATCAGGGCCATCACTAATATTTTTGTTATTTCAGAAAATATAGTTATGTTTCACAAAAAAAAATGCTATTTATATGAACACCTACTATGTTTTTATTTAATGAATTAATATATGTTTTTAGGGTTCTCAATTTTAATTTCTAGTACATGTTTATAGATATAACCCACACAAACAACAGCTCTTTGGATGCTCAAAAATTTGTAAGAGAACACAGGGATCCAGCAGAGACCAAACCATTTGAGGTCTGCGCCAAATCCTCTGCACCTAAGGCTAGCTCCAAAGATGAGCCAGGTGTCCTCCGTCTAATGAGTGGGGGAGGGGGAGGAGGGAAGAAAAGGAAGACCTGGAAGAGAAAATGCCTGCCTTTCCTTACTTTCTTTTCTTCCCCTTTAACATTTTTATGCCTTTTCTGATTTCCTTTCTCTATTGAATAGTTACTGCACATTCCTGCTCCAAGTCTAGAACGCTTACCCTATTCTGACTCATTTTTTAATTATTCAGGTAATTTATTGTTCTAACATTCTACCCTCTGTGAAGGACATGTATTCGAGCATGTCTATACACACAAGCACATGTGTGCACACACACAGGATGAGACGTTCTTAACCTGGTGTCCAGAGTCTCAGGGATTGAATTCACCAGCTGATGAACTTGAATGGGGAAAAAATTACAAATTTTTACTAGCCTCTACTGAAATTTAGCATTTCTTTCTTACAAATAAGAAAGAAATGTTATAGACATGTCTTTTTGTTGTAGACAAGAAACCACAGCAGCACCATTACCAGACTAAAAGGATCCATTTGCCTGCACATATCAAAGCCCAATAAAGTACAAACATGAGTCTGTAGCAAAGATAGTAGAGGTTTATTTAAGGAAATGGCACCAAGCCTGGGGTCACAGGTGAGCTAATGCTCTAAGACTGGCTCCCAGATGGTTTGCACTGAGACAGATTATGTATGGGAAAAATTATGAATCATGGTGGCTAAGGGAGTTGGGGTCGGGGGCTCAACTGATTGGCTGCGGCTGGGGTATGGAGTCATTGATCTTTGAATCAGGTCCCGATGTCAGCCGTGGAGTTGTTCTGTCTGGTTTTGTGAAGATGTGTTTCTGCGTTCATGGGCCCGGGGCTGAAACACATCCGAAATGGAGATGTTATCTTCAGTTTGACCAAAACCCTGTTTCTGTGGTCAACAGACCTGAGGCTTTGTTCCTAAGACTGATGCTAACCAGGGTCCCTTATATCCTAAGGCCGTAATGATTAAGGAAGGGCGTGGATAGGCAAGGGGAAGGGAGGAAAGTGAGTCATGGTGCTGTTACATGGGATGAGGCCAGTCTGGATGGAGAGGCGGAAAAAAAGGGAGAAAAGGTCAACTTTAAAGAAATGAAGTTTTCACACTTACAGCCCTAACTGTACCTGACTTTATCACCAATGGAAATTACTGATGTTTTCATATCACATTAGAGTTGTTGCGGATCTCCTGAAATAATCATTCACACGCATCACTATTTTGAAATTACAGGAATTATTGGACTCACTACTAGATTTTGTTAAAGTATTCATAAAGAAGCATATTATATTACCTTATCTGACGGGTGTCCAACCTTTTGGCATCTCTGGGCCACAGTGAAAGAAGAGTTGTCCTGGGCCATTCATTAAATAAACAAACACTAATGAAAACTGATAAGCAAATAAAAAAGGTTTAAGTAAATTTACAGTTTTGTGTTGGGCCGTATTCACAGCCATCCTGGGCCACATGCAGCCCACGGGCTGTGGGTTGGACACCCCTGTGTTATGACATATGTGCTTTTTTTTTTTTTAAGTTTGATGACTATTTCAATATAATTGGTTTCATTTGAGATCTTATGAACTTAATATTATGTGTTAAAAAACATTATTCTGAGTAGGAATCCACAGGATTTACCAAAGGAACCTTTTGGGGGGATAAAAGTTACAGTTGTTACCAGACTGGGGCCTGGCCCTGAATGGGTCCACCTAGGGCCAGCTGTAGTGTATGGGCTCTTGACTTCATGTAGGAAAGATTTCACAATGCAAATCCAGAAGACTATAAGGATGCGTTTCTTAAAGCTGGGGACAATGGAACAAGGAAGGAATTAGCATAGAAGAAGCCACAGGAGAGCCTGGGCTGGGCTGCCTTAGCTCACAGAGAACTAAGAGAAAAGGGCGCTCTGGGGACAAGTTCCGGGGATCAGTCTGGGACAAGCTGCCAGCTGCCCATTGCCTTAAAGTTTAGGAGACACACACCTGTGAAGGAAGAAGTGGGTGAGAAGAAGGAAAAGGAAATGGAGCAGGTAGCATGCACTGGGCCCTTTATCTTGAGGTTTTATCTAGTTCCTGCAGGCAAGAATCTTAGGGGAGGCCTCAGGGGAGGGTTTCAGCAGAACATTCATCAGTCCTCCAGCTGTGCCCTTTCAGGGTCATGGTGCCCACTGATTGGTCAGTGGCAGGGCAGGAGGTCTTCAGTCATTGCAGTGGGTCTGGCAACACCCACCTAGTTTTGCTGCTTTTCTGGGCCTGGAGCTGAAACACAACTGAGGCTTTGATGTTATCTCCAGGGAGGAAAGGCCAGGGGAAAAGTTGCCCTGTGGGTGAGGTCCTTGTTTTCCCAGTTTTGCCCCCTTAGAAGCTGAGGAGGACCTTCCCCCTGGTGACCATCTGCACCTGGCTGCAAATTGCTAACCCACTGTTTTCAGCTGACTGTTTCCCTATTCCACTCGCCAAGGAATTTGCCTAGCTTCTCACTATCCTGTCTCATGGGCAATAATCTCCAAATCAGCAAGGACGTTACTTCTTTGTTGTGCGTTGTACACTGTAAGTACTCAATAAGTATTTTTAATTGAATTTAGAGGTATTCAAGTAGTTCACTGGATGTCTTCCCCTTCCTCGGTGCCACCCCACCAAGGCTGGGTGGGCCCTCATACCCAGCTTCCTCCTCAGAGAGGAAGTTGATCAAGCTGTTACCATCCTGCATGCAATCCCCAAAGCCTGGGAGGCCAAACTGCCTGCCTCCGTGCCAGATGCTCCTTTGTGTTCTAAAGTGTGTGTCATGCACATGAGATGATTGATATTATGGTTATAACACAGTGGGTGGTATCAAAGACACTCATCAGTTGGAGCCCAACTGTGTAAGTGCTGCAAAACTACAAAATGTTTAAAATAGGTCTGGCTGTGGAAAACTCTAATATCAGCCATTTATATAAGCAGTTTAGCATGTATACCCAAATTCCTTTACATTATCCATTTGCTTTGTTATGTTTTGCTTTCTTTTTACAATAAACTATACATTTCTGCCAACTCTTCAGCTTTTGCTTCTTAGTTGCATTGCCATTTACTTATGCAATATGGTGGTTTGCACATGCTTCAAAAACCTAAAGGAAACATTGTGCTACTTTTCCCTTATTTTTCTTCTACATCTGCAACCACTCCTTTCCTGTTTACTTGTCTGAAAGTTCTTTTCCTCCTGCAATTACAGCTGGGCATGAGTGCCGATCTTGAGAATCTAAGCAGACTTTCAGGATGGAACAGACACCAAAGAGATGAACACAGGAGTAAAGCCATAGGTTGATTGTTCTAAGAACACGTGTTCAGGGAAATTGCTATAAGAATATTCTCAAATGAAAAATTTATGGTGAAAGGGACATGCAGGACTTGAGTGCCATTAGTTTAAAAGGTTTCATAAGGCCCACATTTAAGGTCCTTTAGATGAAGGCCTTACATTTCTGGCAAATAGCAGGCATCCTAGCAGTTAGATAACTGATCTAGAAGTAGGTATTTTATCAGACCTGGCCACAGAAAGATTGGAGACTAGGGTTGAGAAATTCAGGCTCTGAAGCCAAGTAGGAATGGTGAAGGCAGGAAACCAGAGACTCCTGTAAGAGCCAGCACAGACCAACAGCAGAAAACTAAACCAGTGAGAAGACAAGGCCTTTTCTATCCTCCCTGCTTGTTGCCAGAACTTGTCTCAAAGTGTGGAAGTGGGTTCAAACCTTAGACAAGGGCAGAGGCGCTAGGGAAGCTAGGACAGGAAGCTCTTTGATAGAGAGCTTCCAGAGTTTTTGTGGTTGGTTTTCACTTTGTTTTTTTAAAAGTTTGATTAGGGAAATTTTCAGACTCTTGCAAAAATAGACAGTAATATTATATCATGAAACCCATGTACCTATCTCATAGCTTAAATAATTCTAAACCATCCACCCCCTCAGCTTTCTGAAGGTTCAGTGTCCAGCCCTCTGATTTCTGTACCATCTTCTTGGGCAACACGCCCTATTCACATGACCACAACCACTGCTTTAACGCCTCTAAGACCCACGTGTGGAGCACCAGCCCCTTCTTTGGGTGGATCCCCAGCTGCCTTCTGGATCCGTCCATCCCAAGATGCCACGGTACTTTGGTTGCCTTCCTAGCAGCCTCCCTGCCTTGACCTTGTTTCCTGCTCTAGAGCCTCACTCAGCTGATACTCGGGGGTAGGTTTAGTTACTGTATTTTTTTGGACTATAAAACACACTCCACCCCACCAACTTGGGAGGAATAATGGTTGTTAATGCTGCTGTTGAGTTCTATTTACATTTACATTGGTGAAATAGTATGTTATTTATGTTACTAAATATTTTACCACATTTATTGCTTCAATTTTTTTCCCTATTTTCCTCCTCTAAAACCTGGGTGTGTCTTATGGTCTGAAAAAATATGGTACTCTCCAGTTCCGGGCATTAATCCTGATTAGTCTAAACTACCCATGATAATTTCATTCCCCCTTTTGGGTGACTGGTTTAAGAATGTGCAAGCAATACAGTCAGGCTAAGGATACTTGAGGGGAAATATGCAGGAAGTAGGGGGATTTAAAGAGTTTTTCCCACTCTGTTTACAAAGTAATGTGAGAAAGGCAGTCCCTTCCTTTCCTAGAGCCGCCGACCTGCAGTTGTATCTCAGTGACGCCACTCATCGGCAAGGTGACACTAAGAGGGTTACTTAGCTTCCCTGGACCTCAGTTTTCATACCTGTCAGATACGAAACAAAGGTGCCTCAGGACCTCTCAGAGCCTTCAATCTGCTTCTATGCATCAAGCGTAAGGAGGGGACTCTTCTACTCAGTGCTGCTCAAAGCTTAATTGCCTAGAAAGGCAATTGTTCTCCAGTCAGCATTTCCTGGCATTCCACAGAACATAGATAGAGAAATAATAAGGCAATGCATTTTTAAATGAGCAACGTATCATTAGCTGACAAGTGAAGTAATAGCTTCACAGAAATCAGTGTTAGTTGGATTCTCTTGAGAATATAAGGGCAGCAATACTGAAGTTGGAACTCCCTGCCACTTTTCTATGGGACTGAGCCCACATCCCACACATATCCCAAGGCCTCTGTCAGTTAACTTGGATATTATGCACTCAAATGCTTACAGAAGGCAGGAAGTAAATGAGGGAAGAAGGTGAATATAAAAAAACACACAGTGCTGGCATGATATTAAACGGTAATTAACCCTCAGTATCAGAGACAGGAATAACAGGCACCGAGTTAAAGAGCCTGCTGATTCACCACTTTGTCTGAACAGTAAGTACAGACCCAGTGGTGCAAAAGCACTCCTCCTCCTCCCAAAGAAACCTCACGTCTGGAGTTTTACGTAAATTTCCCAGCTTTTCAATATTAAGAATTAATTCAGTTAATTTTAAAAAAAGATGCAGGGGCCACACACACTGCTGGGTTGCCTGTTTTAGACCAACCAGGCTATCAATAGCATCTTTTAAGGTCCATCCTTATAACCGTATGAGCAGTTGTACAGTCAGATCACACAGAACAGTGCGCAATCGCTCATTCTGAATTTTTGTAACCTAACCTGTCCCCTAGACAAAGAATTTCCTGGAGTTTAGGTATCTTAAAATGAAAATTTTAAATAAGACATTTTACCATTTTATCTATCATATGCATATAGCAAATAGTTAATATTCCTATACATTTTATATTTTCATGTAACATATGAGGTCTGTCCAGAACGTATCTAGCCATGTACTATGAAAAATAAAGACATTTATTGAAGAAGATAGAAGATATAAGAAACACTGTACATGGGACAATGATACCTTAGTTCCCTACAAAATAGCCACCTTGGGACATCATG